AGTCTGTGCACATGTCCTGCTATGGAATGCCCTCCAAGACATGTTGTTACATGAAAACAAAACCCAGGAACAAAACAATGTGTGTTTCATGCTATCATGTTAGAAGGGGGGGGTAGGGGTCAAGAAGGATAGATATACTCTGCAGAGAATATTTCTGGAAAGACACACAAGAAATTGATTACACTGGTTGCCTATCGGGAGGGAAACTGGGGGGTGGGCAGCAGGGAGCTGATGTCAGGAGTCCTCTAAATGCCCTTTAGTATTGATTAGCCAGATCAATCAGACTCTGGTCTCTGAACTGGGAGAAGGAACAACTAGTAGAGAGGTGCATCAACACAAGGACAAGGTGCAGAGATCAGACAAGAGCGGAGGCGTGACCCTGCTGGCACCAGACAAGGTCATTCCAGAGCACCTCATCCCTGGGAGTACCCTGGATCCTGGACTCCCTCCTTTGTTGTGTCCTCTTGAGATCCCAATCTCCTGCTTTGTTTGGCAGAGATGAAAGGAGTCTCTGCATAATAGCAGGAAGTGTTTATGTGTACTCATGTGTGTGCACATATGTGTGCACATGCATGCAAAAGGAAAGCTTAATCTCTCCTAGGTGTTTGAGTTCACTGACTTTTGCAGACCTTTACAAAGCGAGCCCAGTAAGTGAGTGTGCTGTCAAGAGCATTTTCCCACATCTCCAATCAGCTAGAAAAGAAGGCAGTCCAAAGGGTACGAGATCCTTCTTCTTTACAGATCTCTTACCCTTTGGGACAGTATGGATGAGCCTGGAAAGAATTATGCTAAGCGAAGTAAGCCAGGCAGAGAAAGACAAATATCACATGACCTCACTTATATGTGGAATCTAAAGAACATAATAAACTGATGAACAAAATAGATTCAGTGACATGGAAGCATGGATCAGACTGACGAATCTCAGAGGGAAGGCAGGAATGGGTGGGTGAGGAGAGATTAACCATGGAATTTATATGCATATATGCATAACCCATGGACACAGATAATAGTGTGGTGAAGTCCTGAGGGGGGTTGGGGGTGGAAGGGGTCAATGGGGTAAAAGGGGGTCATCTGTGATACTTTCAACAATAAAGATAAATTTAAAAAAAAAAAAAAAAGGCAGTCCATTATCCCAGGAGGCTCTGAGAGAGGTTTACAGTGGCCCAGAGCTCACCTGCCAGGGGCCCACTAGCCTGGGGGCACACAGCCAGGAGCCTGGATGGCTGGGTCAGCCTAAAGACCAGCTGCAGCAAGGGAGGCCCTCTGGGTGAGAAGCGCATTTGTGCTGCCTTCTCTGTCAAAGGGCATGACTCTCTCTCCGTTAAGTACTGGACACTCTAAGGAATGACTAAAATTATGTGACAACTAACATTATGGATGCCTACTATGGGTCAGGCACTACCGTGGGTGCTTCAGTACGTTGCTGCCTTTACTCCATAACCCAGTCATCAAAGTGGGCATTATCAAACGAGGGGAGGGGTCAAGAGACTCGTCCAAGGTCACAGGACAGGGATCTGCTGCAGAGGCACATCATGGGTGCTAATTCGTGGCCGCCTCTGTGCAGCAGGAGGATGTGTTCCCAGTGGGCACCTGTGTGAACACAGGGCAGGGGGTGATGAATAAAGATTTCTTTCCCTTCTGTGGTTTCCTTTTTTTAAAAAACACTGAATGATAAATTTACTTCCTAATGATTTTTGAGTAAACTACAATGACCACAATTTCAAAATCATTAATAATTCATGACTAAGGGCCATAAACACTATATAATCTCCACAGGCAGGAACCATGAATACTTGTTAGAGACGAGGCTGAGAATATTTTTACCAGCTACGTGGAAAGTAACTACCAATTCGAAGCCAACCATTAAAGATACATTTTTCAGAAAGGATTATAACCCTTCCAAAGCCTCAGTTCAAAATGCCTCTTCCAGGAAGTCTTCTCTCCCCCTCCAGCACCACTGGGGCATTATCTGGGTCTCCTCTGTGATGTCTGTCTCCCTTTCCTTTGACTTGTGCCTGTCGTGTCTGGGAGAGGAGCAGGAGGGCTGGAGCACCAGGAGGGCTCCAGCGGGGCAGGCATGTGGTGCGCAGGGAAGCGCCTGGGCTGAGAGCAGGGCTTAGTCACTACCTGTAACCACGACTTCTCACCCGCGGCTGCCCATCGCAACCACTGGGGGCAGTCAAAAAACTCGGATGTTTGGGTCACACTGCCAGAGGTTCTGATTTAACTGGTTTGGAAAGAGGCCTGGATGTCAGGGTATATAAAAGCTCCCGGGTGATGTTAGTGAACCACTGCCCTAAAGCGCTCGGCAAGGAGCCTGCGCAGCGCAGTTGCCGACCCGTTTGCTGTGTAGCAGAGGTGGGGGTGGGGTGCCAGATCAGGGCTATGCTGCCCTTCGTGGCCTCAGGAACAAGGGCCCGTTGTCATACTCCATTTTCCCAAAGAAGCCCGAGTCTGCATTTTCACGTGAAATCTCCAATTTCTAAATGTGGATACATAATTCTAAAAAATTGCAATAGATTGTGGCCCGAATAAAATACATCGTTGGGCTGAATTGGACCTGGCAAGCTCGTTGGGAACAGCCGCCCGTCCTCTGTTTGTCCTGTTGCCTGCGGCCAGGCACTGAAGTGCCCAACCCCCACCCGGGGTGGCAACCACAGGTTCACCAGCCAAGGTGTGAGCTGGCCCCGAGAACCTCACCGCCCAAGGACACACATGTCCCCATCTACTTGTTCTAACCAGCACGCGTCTTTCTCGCCTTTCATGGGGACACAGCTTGGTCTATAGCTGGCATCCTGGGTAAGGCACAGAGGGTCAGGAGGTGCAGATTCCACAGCTGGGGGAGGGGCAAAGGGAGGGACGCAGAAAGAGGCGGTGGGTGCAAAAGGCCTGTTATAACATATCAGGATGAACATCCTGGCAGCTTGTTATTAATTTCTTTCTCTTGTTTTTCTAACCAAGCAAAAACCCTGTTAGAGAGTCAGCACCCTCTTTTTCAGAGGCCCAAAGCCACCTTAAATATCTTTCAGGGTGAAAGGGGGATATTGTAATAAACAGCCCCATTCTCTGTTTTCTCTCACTTCTGACTTTTCAGAAGAGTGTGATCTGAAATGCTCTCAGGGATGGGAGTAGCGGCAAAGTGGTAACTAGGGGAGTCCTGCTGCCAAGGACAGAGGGGGAGAGAAAGTATTTCCACTAGTTACCTGCTGCCCTGCTTCTGGTTTCCCAGATAACTACTTAATGTGGATAAATGGGATGCTGCTATTCTGTAACCTAAAACCTTGGTTAGGTTTAAACAATTCATTCCTGGCTTAGGGGGGCTGGTCCCCACCCTTGGGCACTTCATAGAGGGAGACCAGGTGCCTGCAGGCTGTGCTCACTCCCGTTCTGGCTCCTCCACCCCCATGTCTCTAGGACTATGCAGGAGGCAAGCACACCTGTGCCTGCTTCCAGAAAAATCTCCATACCAGAAAGGAGAAGGAGAATCCACCCTGTTCAGCATCTAGACTGCACACTGGGGCTGACATTTAGATCTTTCCAGCAGCATCAAACTTCCCAAGTTATGCCCCGGTCCTCGTTCCAGGTAGGTTAATGGAAGAAGAAGAAAACCCACACTGGCTGTCCTGGCTGCAGCTGAGAAAAGGGACAGTAGGAGAGAAGATGGAAGTCACAGCAAAGTAAATGGGGCATCCAAACCCAACCTGCCTCCTCAGAGCTCACTGAGGGTGAGGCCGGCACAGAGGAAGCAGAGTCAGGACATAGAAAGAGAAACAGAAAGACCAAGGCTTGTGGCCATTTTTGAACCCCTGGAACCAGCTGAGCCTGAGAAATTCCCTTTCCTCATTGAACTGTCAACTTTACAATTGAGAATGCTAGTATACAAGTGCTGACGGGTTTCAGGAGTGGTTGGTAGTTACGATGAGCTATACACCTTCACACTCCTGTACCTACCTGCCACTATTAAGACTCAAATTTAAACTCCCATGAGCTTGAGGCCTCCCTGAGGTAACCTATGAGTCCTTGCACCACCTCCCGTCTCAGGCTCGATGATCTTGCAACTTTCCTATTCATGTCTCTACGATGTTGACATTGCCATTTACTTGGCCCAGAAAACTACTCATCCTTCAGGAGGCAGCCTACACGTCAGCTTTTCTGCACAGCCTTTCTTGATAATCACTGGCAGAGTTCGGTGACCCCTTTTCTGCATTGAAATTCTACTTTCTCTGCCCTTCTCCTACTACATTGGCACTTTCCCACACTATTGTGATGATCTGCTGCACATCCCTTCCAATACATTGTGTAAACCCTAAGATCAAGGACTGTCTCGCCCACGCCTTAGTCCTAGCCCTGGTCCCTGGCACAGAGCAGATGGGTTCAGAGTGGTCGGTTTCAAGAATGGCCACAATATTTTGTAGCTTTCCCATTAAGAAGTGAGGCCTATTTCCCCACTCCTTGAATCTGAGCTGACCTTGTGACTTGCTTTGAAAAATAGAAAGTGGCAGAAGTGAGACCATGCCAGTTCTGAGCCAAGGACTCAAGAGATCCTACGGCTTCCACTCTCAAACTTTTGAAGCCTTGAACCTCCATGTGGCTGGCTTGCTGGAGGATGAGAGAACATTGGAAGGAACTAAAGCACCCTAAGTGATAGTCAGCCCCTATGTGATAGCAATAAGTGAGCCCAGCTGAGGTCAGCAGAGACTCAACCATCAGCAGACCCACCCGGGTAAGCCTAGCCCAAACTGCCGACCCACAGAATTGTGAATAAATGCATGGCTGATTTAAGTGTGGGTGATTTGTTACACAGACAAAGCTAACTGATACATTCCGCAAGCGATTGCTACAAGTAACACTGGTTGATAGCTCTAGTTGCCAACTACCATTCAGTCAGGAATTCAAGCTAAAGACTCAGAGAGAAGATCCAGGAATACTTAGTCACCAACCTGCTCCCTCAGGTCCCTTCAAATAGCTGCCTCCCACCAGCCCTTGCCGGTGACATTTACCTCCTTTTTCTCCCGAGAGCAGGACCGGCTTCTCTCAGCCTTTCGCAGAGTCTGACCTGTAGCAGTTCAAAAGCAGAACCAGAAATTAAGGCTGTTTTAAAACAGCTAGTTTACCACCACAAAAGCTTTTTATTTGCAAACTGGATAGACAGGACCAATCATAATCAAATGATTTTAAGAAAATGTAGCCTATTATTATGATGGGAAAATGGTATACTCTTGAAATAAACCAACAGCAAGGAAATGCTAATTCACACACTCGCGTTATTCAACTATAATGAACAAAGCCTCGGCTCTTTAATCTGGAACATTATCTGCACTCTGCAAGGGCCGACACTCTAGTTTTCCAAGTCAAATTGCACTTTTATTAAATTGTTTGGATTATAAAATGCCTTCCACTGTGCATACACATAACCTCTGATGAGTGCACCCCAGTGTGCTGTACCAAACCCCAAACTCGGGCACAGGTGATGGTAGAGATGGGAATTAGCGGGAATTCCAGCACTTCCCATAATGGGCAATTTCAGAGAAAATTGTTGCTTATCTCAGAAAACTGGAAGCCTACCATTTGAAGGCATGCATAAATTCAACAGATCAACACCAGAATGTTTAAATATGCTGTTTTAAATGCAGCTTCCAGAACTTTATGGAAGTGTCCATTATAAAATAATTCCTTGATGAAAAATTAACGGATTGCCTTGGTTTTAAAATAGAAAATGATAGTCACTGTACATTGTCAAGATCTCCCAAACTGTCCCGCTTCACTCTCGAGTGGCCATTTGTGATAATGCCACAACCACATGTCCCATTAGCCAAGAGCCCCCAGAAGGCAGGAGCAAAAAGGCTTAGCGATGACCTATGGAGAGACAGAGATAGGGACCGAGTCTCGGAGGAAAGACCACAATCCCTTGTCTACACCTGCTCTGGCCATCAGAGGAGGGACACACCAGGTAATGCAGGCCGTGTAATGCAGAGCTAGGAGTTGGGCCTGGAGCTGGAACAGGACAGAGTGGGCTGGAGACCAAGGGACAGAAACGGATGTTTTCAGTAGCGGAAGTAGTCCTGAGGCAAATAAGATGCCAGCAGGGCCAAGTGGGGCCCAGAGCAAGGGTAGGGAGCAGGAGGGAAGCAGAGCTAGGCCAGGGTGAGCATGGCGGACCCCAGAGTCTAGCTGAGGCCCTTTCCGTGCTGGTCAAACACACACCTGGGGATCTGGCCAGCGGACAGCTAACGGGTTAGGGCACCCTAGATAGGTCACGGGTCCAACAGGATCTCTCTGGGCCATATTTTCTTCCTTATTTAGTTTAATTTAATTAATTAATTTATCCATTGCTTTTCAGAGCGAGTAGAAGGGGGAGGGGGAGAGAGAGACAGAGAGAGAGAACAGCAATGTGAGCGAAACACGTGGATTGGTTGCCTCCTGCACATGCCCGCCCAGGGCCGGGGATGGAGCCTGCAACCAAGGTTTCAGGAACTGAACCCGGACCCTTCAGTCAGTGGGCCAATGCTCTAGCCACTGAGCCACACCGGCCAGGGCTTTCTTCCTTTTTTAAAAAAGACCATTAGGCTGAATCACCTCCGGGTTTGCTTTTCTTCTATAAAATTCTGTTACACCAATAAGGAACAGGAAAAAAATAACATTAAGCCGGGCCATAAAAACTAAATATTAATACAAAAAACATAGAGTTTAACTACTGAAATATGAAAGCAAATCTCTCTACTGGAGTTAATTAGAAGCCTCTTTATTCATTAAACTGGGAAATAATGTGCTTATTTTCCAATGAAGATAATTCGCTCTAATTACACGCATTTGTTATCTAACGCCCCTGTCCTCACACCACTGAGCCCCTCTCCTCCGGGCAACTGAGTGCGGAGGCAGAGCCTCCTTGCCAAGGATGGACAGACCCAGACTACACCACGCCCGTCTGCTGCACCGACCGTCCCTCAGGACCCTCCTACCTAGATCTCATTTTATGCTCACAATTCAGGGAGGGAGGGGGAAGGAGTAACATTAACATATATGCCGCTTGCAAAATTAAGGGGATGTTCCTCTCTTTTGCAAGGTGACCTGCCAGATTCAGCCATGAAACAATAAATAAAGCCGAATGAAAACGATACCTGTGTACCTCACTTTATAAAACAGATGTGTGCCTGGGGAAAAGGGGAAAAGAAGTGAAGGCACTGAATTTTTTAAACTATCGTATCATTCTCCCACCTATGATTTCAGAGATTTTTATCTGCACTTATTTTCAGTGGTAGGGAAATTCTGACATTCAGTTTTACTTTGCTCTAGATGCGGATAATAGTATTCATCGCTACCATTCAGAAGGGAGTTGTATCTCCCTTGGATGAGAGCTTCTGCAGCCATCAAGCAAAGGAAAATCAGCATCAAAATACCCCCGAAAAGGAGCCTTACACCTCCCAAAAAGCACAGTCTGCAGGACACAGCCCTTCAGACCCACTGCTGCAGACTAACATGCATGTGTAATATTTGATGCATATGGAAATGTATGCTACATGATAAAAATACATATGCAAAGTACCATCTTACGGTATTTCTAATTAAACTATTCATATTGTAATTACTTCCTCTATTTTTCCTCTTGGGGTTGGAGGAGAGTGAAGGGGTTGGGGACAACCGAGCATTTTACTTTCATGAAAATGAAATGCTTGGTTGCTGCCGCTCCACTGTACTGAACACCTAATATGTGCCAGGTCTACACGCAGGCTTTGTGTCTCACACCCTCACAACCACTCCTTTAGATCAGGGGTCAATAACCTTTTTCTTTAAAGAGTCAGATAGTAAATATTTTTCACTTTATCAGTCATAAGTCTCAAGCATAACTGCTCGACTCTGCCATTGCAGTATGAAAGCAGAACAGACACTACATAAACGAACGGGTGTGGTTAGGTTGCAACAGAACTTTATTCACAAAAACAGGCAGCAGGGCCCCGGCTGGTATGACTCGGTCGGGGGTCATTCTGTGCACCAAAAGGCTGCAGGCTCAGTCCCCGGTAGGGGGCGGGCAGGAGGCAGTCAATCGATGTTTCACTCTCACATTGATGTTTCTCTCTCTCTCTCTCTAATAACAAAAATATTAAAACAAACAAAATAAAATGAAAAACAGGGCGCAGGCTGGATTTGGCCCACAGGCTGTATGTAGTCTGCTGACTCTCGCTTTAGATGAACAGTGTTATTCCCATTGCTACAAATCAATGATGAAATGAGAGACTAAATGGGGGTGAGTGATTGAGCTCCATGCTCAAGGTCACAAGAATGTAGCTTGTTAAATGGCGGGGCTCAGGGTGCTCCTAATCACCATCATCACGACCACACCCTCAGCATGAGCAGCAGCAGCTCGCTGTCACCACCACCACCACCACCATCACTATCATCACCACCACTACCAGTGAGCTCGCCCTAATCGGTGTTTACTGTGGGCCCCCACTGAGCTCCAGGCTAAGTTCATAAATCAACGCATTTACTCTTCACAGCTACCCTACGAAATAGGTACTGTTATTATCCCACTTATCAGAGGAGGGCACCGGGCCCCAAAGAGGTTAGGAAACTTGCCCAGTATCACATAGCTATTGAGTAGAGAAGCCCTCATTTGCGTCTGGGCAGAACAGCTCCAGGACCTGCATGCCTATCCACTAAGCAACACTGCCCACAGTCAGATCTTTAAAGACAAGTAGAAGGCCAGAATGGGCTAGGGACGGAGTTTGGTTTAAGGAATTCTTTCTGTGGCGCAGCTTTTTAATGTATGTACTTTGGACTCCTAAAGCAATTAATAAGGGGATTAGAAGAAAATGATTCCTCAAGGGTAAAGGAGGAGGAAGCCCTCTACTAGCCAGATAAATGCCATAAAGTGCCAAATGTGGAAAGGCAAGCTTGGCAGTCAGAACTCACTCCCATCCACTCAGGGAAAATGCGCAGCCTTGGCAGGCAGGGCTGGGCTGGGCTCTGGCGAGTAAAGGTGAGTCGGAGGAAATCCTGCAGGCAAAGAGGGTCCCTGCAGGGACCTCCCCATCACAAAGGAGTTTTGAACAAGGCATTTGTTTCTCCCCACTGGGGTGATGGTGCTTTCATTACGTTACTAAAAGCAGCTTATTTCTTCTGTTGTCCAAATATGACAGCTCACAGTGCTCTCATTTTATACATCTATGTAATTTAATTTAAATGACAAATATCCCACTGAGATTCCACTTTCTCTCACCTATCTGACTGGAAGAAATCCAGAGGTTTGACAATATACTGTTGGCAAGTGCTGGGAAGCAGGCACTTTTGAGCACTGCTGGGAGTACAAAATGACACAGCCACTTCGGAGGATATTTCGGTGATATCCTCAAAGGAAAAATGCCTTTTCCCTTTGAGCTAGCAATATCACTCCCGGGTCTACCGTGAAGAAACAGCTCCACAAACAGTAAACAAATGCATGGACAAGGTAATTCACTGTATCACTACCTACAATAGCAAACATCAGAAATAACCCGTAAGTCTAAGAGCAGGGACTGGCTGAATAAACACGTTAAGTCCACACAATGGAGTAGAATACTATGAAGTTAGGAGAACGAACAGGCAAACTCCTTACGTATCCTACAGATGGCCATGTGTTAAGTGAAAAAAAACAAGGGGTGGACAGTGTACGTAGCATGCAATTTTTCTCTAAGAAAGAGGGAGATAAGAATGCATATCACACTAGTTTAGTTTTTTTTAATATCTTTATTGATTTCAGAGAGAGGAAGCGAGAGGGAGCGAGAAACATCAATGATGAGAGAGTGTCCTTGATCAGCTGCCTCCTGCACACCCCTTACTGGGGACCAAGCCTGCAACCCGGCACGTGCCCTGACTGGGAATCGAACTGTGATCTCTAGGTTCACTGGGCTACGCCGGCTAGCCATCAATGTATATTCTTTATATTGTTTTTATTTTTGAATGATTTATTTGGATCTATTTCCTATTCTTGAAACTAAAATAAACTTAAAATATTAAATGTCCAAAGGCTGATTCAAACTTTTAAAAGATATAATATGACGAGAAATGCTGTAGGCCTTC